GACTCAAGCGCTCTTTGGGGGAGGGAGTGGGGATTGTACTTATAGTGCATCCGGAATGGGTAGGAAGGGTAGAGGTGAAAGAGGAAACCATTCAATCCCTCGTCGTTGCCGTCTTGCTGTTCTGGTCAAAGAGAGAGGAAACATGACTCAATGGAGCGACCCTGCCAGAACAACTAGTATTACTAGAGTTCAAACGCACTGTCCTGCCTATGATCCGTGCTAAAAAGTAAAAAAAGTAAAGATCCCTTTACACGCCTTTGTGTGCATCGGGCATATGGGAAGAGCAGCCATATCCGTGCTAGAATGGATGTAAACAATTGGTGATCGTTGTAAAAATAACTTTCATATTTGTATTGACTATATTCTTTGCTGAAATGAATATTGCTGTCATTGATTTCTTATTGTGTACAAGTTGAATCTCAAAGCGTGCTGTGTACAACATATTCTTGACTATAAGGACATTATTAATGACCATCATCACAACACTCTAGGCAGATCTATTGATGCTCTAATCTCTCTCCAAACGCCCCATTCTCCCCCCCCCCGGGCAAAAAGTAGACACAAAAAAGCGTCAAAGGACAGATTGTCACGTGCCTTATGTAAGGATTTCTCCTGCAGAACCAGCAGCACTCAGAAATAATTATGTTGAGTCGTTTGGCTCGTATTGGTCTAAGGGATTCCCCGTGGCCAATATACGCTCAACTTATTTCTGGAGTAGGGCAACTCAAGTATTGGCACTACAAAATATATCAGTATATGAATACAATATTCCTAGGCACACTTGGCTGGACACCCCCACTACTTACTAAAGAAAGCCCCCATGTTATGATAAGTTCATTATCATAACCATGTTAACACATATAGTGAAGATTCATACACATACAAATGCTAACTATTTAAAAAGGTGAAATAGAGAAACCTAAGTCTGCCATGAAAATGAATGCATGTAATTATTTCAACATATACAAATAGAAAATAGTGAAGTAGATGCCAGATCACAATTACTGAATTCCAGAATACAATGTCCAGATTGCAAGGACTCTTAAACAGCCAGAATGATCTAGAGATGACACAACTTCATCCTCGAGAAACATGGGAGCTGTGAGGAATATTGCAAAAAAGGCATCAAACTGAACTTATCCTCTTTCCTTCTATGATGCTTCCCTCAGCTCCTGATTATTCGACTGTCTTTGGTGACTCTGCCTCAACTGGATCAGATGGTGGAGGAGTACTTCACCATAAAGGACACAGCAACTGAATAAGCACACAGCAAATGGCTCCCACTAGTCATTAGCAGCACTGTCCATGAGCTACACACATGTTCTGGCACTGTAGGAAGTTTGGGGTATATGGCACCTCAAACTGACATCAATCTCCACACTTGGTAGTTGGGTGATAAGTGGTAGGTAATGGGTTAATTGATTGATGGGTTATAATTGGTGGGTGTTGGTTGGACTGTGAATCTTCTGTCAGCTCTTCACAAAGGGTTCATCCTGCCAAGAAATAACTCAGAATTAGTCATCACCAAGAGGGTAACATCTTGACAGGAAAGACAGAACAAGCATCAGTCATCATCCCACATCTGCCTACTCCACCTTTGCTCCCCTGTTTCATTCCTCAGAATGCCTCTCAAGACCAGGAGACACTAGTCTCCTATCATTCATCTGTCTGTTTAGTGCAAGAGATGGAAAGTCAGATATATAGTGGAGATAGATAGACACTCTACACATATATCAATCTCTCTCCCCCCTCCCCTCTGCACACAGACACCAATATTTACTGTCAGTACTTCTATTCCTTACGACTCCCAAGCCAGTCCCACTATTCATTGATCTGGGTCAAACACACTCACACACTGGCTGACCAAGTCCTGACCTAATTCTGTCCCCATTTGTATGCACAAACTTCTGTTGTTAGTTTAAATAGTACACACTTGTAAGGTTATTAGTTTTACCAGTATGGGTGGGTTATTTAGGGCCTAGGCTATTTAGTCTGTACAGAGGAAGGTCTAAGTTCGAATTCGCTTCTCTAGCGATCAAGAACGGTCGAACTATGTGTGATCCCACAGCCGATACTGATCTCTCTGCAGCAGTGACCACTTTAACAGACATCATTTTAGGTACTCGTAAACTATAATTAACTTACCCAAGCATAGGAAAAGTCCCCGACATTACAGATCGCCTTACGAAAGTGAAATTTTCTGGCGTCGATGCACACATCTGAACGCTTGGAAACCGGCAAAAAGAATGGCGCAAAATACGCACTTCATGCGTTGGTAAAAAGGAGTTCCTAGTATACATGGGCAAGGAGTAAATCGGTTTCTAAGAAACCTCAAATAACTCCTCTAATATTTATCCAATAGATGTACATTTAAAAGTGGAGTTAAGTCAAAGCAACTAGAAAATGTAGACATAATAATTTTGTCCAATAAATGCATATATATCGATATAAGGGACTATATCCTTCCCGGACGAGTCCAAGTTTGAATTTTGTGCCGATTACAGGTAGGTCAAGTTACCAGTCTTACGGACTGATGTGTAATGGCTTATCATTCCACGACACAGATGATGCCCGTTCTATGTGCATGTCAGAGATTTTATGGCACGTGGTTCGTGTTGTTGGCCCATGACAAACAAACATGTCCTAAATACACTAAACCCATACACCTATTGAGCACACAACAGTCTTTGGTTCTTTCGTAAAATCCTAGACCAGATGACGTCACATGACAGTCTAACACAATCACAATCTTCACTGCATAGAGCAATATAACAAACTGCAGTTCGCCTCAGAGGTCGTGGGTACATCTATTCAACGCAAAGGCCGCGACAGCTTTACAAATCACCTCTTCTTCCTATCTCGTTCCCATGGATAGTAACCGGGTCCAAACGCACGCCGTTTCCGTACAGCTTATTCTTCGGTAACTGAATACAACACCAGGATAATGGAGCGTCTGTCGAATGCGGGCAAAGTGAATAAGGACAGATTAAATCACAACACACAATACAAACTAACCTAGCTTTAATACCTAGAAATAAACCTTTGAAACCTTTGAGGCCGTTAAATATTATGAATTAATCGAGTAACAGAAAGTGTATTGATCGGCACTCATAGAAAGAAGTACAAAGATAGAAGGACACACTAGACAACATAACAATCGAAAGCTATAGTTACCGTGCCGGGAATTGAACCTGTCACCTTCAGACGGCGTCTGCGCTTTGCCATGAATACAAGTGCACTAAAGAACATGGTCAACTTCTTAAATGTTTGTAAATTCTAGACAAAGCAATAAGGTCTACTGTGTTCGTAAATTGTTGCTGTGATTGTTATTCGACATTTGCTTCGTTAATATACATTTCTGTAACCTATGGTGCAATTTCAATGGGTTGAAAGGTATTCTGTCCGTACTCCATAGTTGTGGATTTCAAGCTGTATGATAGACATGGCCAATGAGACACCTTTTTGGGGGTGCCTAGTTGACCATGTTCTTAGTGCACTTGTATTCATGGCGAGGCGCAGACGCCGTCTGGAGGTGACAGGTTCAATTTCCGGCACGGTAACTATAGCTTTCGATTTTTATGTTGTCTAGTGTGTTCTTCTATCTTTCTACTTGTTTCTATGAGTGCCGATCAATACACTTTCTGTTACTCGATTAATTCTTTAATACCTAGCCAGCTTCCCAAATAACGTGCGACACAGACTATAGGTCACTATGTTGTAAACACAATGAATTGCAGTCTAGCTGTCAATTATCACAAGTCTCGATTCGACACTCTCACGTCCTGGAAACAACACTCTCACGATCTGTCGCTTTCCGCTGGTGTTATTTACCTCTTACATTTCAGTCATGTTGCTGCTGAAATCCTGGCTTCGCTAGCGAGCCAGTCAATAAGTCATGACCTCCTACCGTTGTCAGTTTGTCTTGGTGAACTCCGGGTCATGACTCTTTCATATACGTGCAGACTCAGAACATTCACTACTATTATACTGGCTGTCCCATACCCACACTAGCATCTGCCAGTGCACTTAGAGAAATTTCCATGTCTGCAGCTTTAGGTTGCCCTATCATATTCAGCAACCTGGACTCCTGTCGTTGTGATTGTCTTCGCGATATGCATCTCACATGACATTGATGCCATCGCTCTTGGTCTCGAGGCATGACGTCCGCCTCGAGTGTTGAAGGTCTTTGGTTTAGGCCTTTGTAAAGGCTGGGATAGTTCACGTTGACTTCTAGTTATTCCCCCTGGTCTCGGGGTGGTAAGATTAGACGCCCGTGTGCATTGTTGCACACGTAAAAAAATCCCCTAGCTGTTAGAAATCAATAAGAGATATCCTAACGGCGCTGTTCAGGCAAAATTTGGAGATAAAAATATACCTATAGTATTTCCAGATCCTTGCCGGTGCTACGGAGTTCGGGCAAAGGCTGAGATTCTTCTGACCCAGACTTTGTTTGAAATAGAAGGGAACTCTTATGGGTTACTCCCATTGTGTGATGATGCTGATCAATGGTTTAAACTTAAACGATCCTGACTAGCGCCATATCAGCCATATTGTAGCTCCTTAACATCAACCACTCTTGAAAGCTAAGGCATTTTGGCCGTGTTAAACATCATGATAGCCTGGAGGGAACAGTGATGCAGGGCTAACTTTTCGTAAAACCAGGCAGATGTTTATCTCTGCCAATCTAGATAGAAGACTTTAAAGACACGTTGGCTATGAAAGGACAGAGGGGGCGGAGAATTGGCTAGCAACAAAGAGAATTACAGGCTTGCTGTAGCGAGAACGACGTCCTGCATATGTCCTGCTGGTTGGTGGTCAACCATGTAATAATGCAGCTGATGAGTTAAGCAAAATAAGTCAGCAATAAATGTTACAATGTAATGTTTGCGTCGTATTTAATTTACCACTGGATAACAATGTTTCGATCAAAATGACTAGTCTGATAAATTCAAAGCGCTTAAAACATAGTTTAGTTCATGTACTCAGCTGTTTAGATGTCTCTCTACTTCAAATTTACTAACTATCAAGGCTATTCTAAAATCGATCTCGGATTTGGTGGTAACAGATTAAACAGCTTGAAAATAACATCTAAATGCATAAAAAGTTACATACATCAGTGCATTACTCTTCGATATAGTCACTACCTAAATCCAGGCACTTGTAACGTGGCACAAGTTTATGTAATCCTATGTCGGGCTACGGCGCGGCAAGGGTACTACCCAATTACTGACTCCATTCATGAGGTCCTTGGCAGTTTCGAAGGATAACCAACAGGACTTTCATCGTGTCGAAGAGATGATAATAGCATGATTCCACATCCAGGCATTAAAAGGCAGTGGGGAGGGGGTGGGGAATTCCGACTTAAATTGCTCAAGTAAAGCCGTTGTGCAAGCAGCACTTTCAGCAGCCTGTTGTTGTACAGGATCATGACGCACCAGTTCAGCATTTCACGCTTTTTATTCTTGTTCGACCGACAAGCTTCAGTGTTTCACAATAAACGTGATGTTAACTGTAGTCCGCAGGGGCACTAATTGTGTCGAATAAATGCCGTTCCCAGAACACTGTAACTGTCATTTTTTTTTTCCATAGCGAAAATGTTTGCTCAGATTTTGTGGGCTTGTTTTGGGAATGAGAGCGTACTCACAACTTGAAGGAAACGAACCACAATACAAACGTCACAGCTGGCGGTAAAGGCAATGATAGTGCCCATGTTTTTTCGTTTGTTTTTTTCGTTCGCGATTCTGTGAACCACTGAACAAATACCACTGTAGGTACGATGTGTGTGTGTAATGCGCTAAAACAAATACTACTGAATGATGCAACAATGAACGGTGTCGCTAAGGCAAAATACCTTATTCCCTAACCAGCTAATCTATGTTTGATTTTGTGAAAGCCCTCGTATTTACACCCTCTTCCTCCGCTCCGTAACTTGTAAGACTTACGATGCGGGCGCCTTGGAGGTTCCGTCAGTGGACATTTTTCTCAGAAGGGATCAGTGAGTCAAAATAGTTGGTAACCAATGAATTATGACATTGTCGCCATAATGGATGAGCAACAAAAACAACAACAACAACAACAACAAAAAACGATCCACTGAAAAAAGTGAACTCATGACACAGTAAAACATGAAAGCGTACACAAAATTGGTAACGTAGTGAAACCCCAGAATGTAATGAAATGAGAGAGAGAAACATGAGTTATTAAACAGAAATGTACACATACGGCTGAATGAACAAAATAAACGATGCACACACGAGTAAATATATTTGATTTGATTTGATTTGATTCAAGAACCGACATCAAATCACTCGGGGCATTCCCATAAGCGCTCCGTCCCCATCTTCAGCAGCCAGCGAAGAGTTTCGATACTAATGGTGCCAGTAGCGTTCTGAGTAAATATATGAATATAGTGAAACGATTCCTTTTTTGTTTTGTTTTTGAAAAAACCTAACAGAATAAACCCAAAGATTATTTACCGTCATAATGATATTCTAACTGGTAAATACAGAAAATAAACAAAGAACAGCAACTAAGTTAAACCATGAAAGATCTGTTGATGAAAGGTAGTGATAGAGCGTGACTGTGGTCACTTGGCGTCAGTAGTCATTCATAAGTTAGTTGCGTATCCTTTACAGGACGTTGCAGAACTAATCCCAGCTATTTTTTGGCTTTATGTTTATTCTAAGGTAATTTACGTCCAGCAGTTTGCCATACTTTCTTGACGGTCTGCTTCTCGATACCACTGTCGAAACCAACGCAAGGCGCAAGGCCCGCAGCTTGGATCAAACCCGGCACCCTAGCATAACATAGCGCTTTCGCAACGCCTTAGTTACAGACGCCGAAATGGAGACGGTAAATACATGGCAGAGCATAAAGAAACATAAGACAGAGAAGTTAAACAAGTAAAGTGACCACACACACACAAAATAACATTCACAGAAGGTCAACACACACTACGCAAGGGAAGGCAGAAATGTTATGCATAGAAGACAAATAAATGTCGGTGGAGAGATGACTGACCTTCAATAACTGCAGTTGCCAAGAGCGGACCTTCTGTAGATGCGTAAATGACGATAACTGTTTCAGACATGGTCAGCTGGCTTGTCACCTGGGACTGACCACAAAGACTACCAGTTACCGAGAATCAGTTCCAGCAATTGTTTTAGAAACAAATGTATACACAAGTTACAGTGTCAACAGTGTGCCATAGATGGTACATTGTCACAGATAATCACTGTAACTCTGGTAATGGCGTCAGGATGAGTCAGGCTGTCAGCAAGCATGTCAGCCATAACTCCAGTTGTCGAGTCTATCAATGCTGCTCTTTATTCTCTGTGACACCGCCCTTGTTAACCTACGGCTCATCACTATCTGTATGACACTACTAGCTACCTTTGATAGCCTCTGGGTGGTGTGCAGCAGAACATGTACGTTTGCTTAATGCTTTAAAAGCCACAGCGGATGCCAATATAGGACAAACACTGCTACACACTCTCTATATCAGTTTACTATTCTCGTGACTGAGTATAGATAAGAAATGATTGCCAGCTGTATGCGAAACGCCTAAAAAATGAGTTCAAGTCATCTTGGGATGAAGATTCTATATACTTATCTTCTCCAACGCTGCAGATGTTTGTCTTACTGTTGAAATAAAACATCTCTAGGACGCTAGAAGTAAAACTGCGCCTCAGAGCAGACTCATACGGTGAAAACCTTCTAAATGAGACAGCGAGACCAAGAGGCCGTAGCTAAAGGGATTTAGTTCTGGTTAGCACAGGCAGGAGAGAGAAAACACGATCAGCTACTTTTGTAGAATTGACCCGGTAGCACGTGATAAAAGATGGGCGGAGTGTGCTCAATAAAACAGCCCCAAAGAGAGGTATAGCCAATTTTAACTAAGTGCGTTAGGAACTGATAAAGCTTTTGATACACACACACACACACACAAAGAACCCTTCAATTGCACCATCAAAGTAATGGGACAATCCCCAAACAAGTTAATGCCTTGAAGTAATTGGGTACCCTAAAAATAGCAAAATAGAAGATGTATTAAAGATGTATTAAAAGCTGAAGCAAAAACAGCATTTAACAAAAAAGAGAATATTCTGTGCAATCTTTCTTTGTTGATTAGGGCGGGGAAGAGAATTGTCAACATTATATAAATCCTTTACTGGTATACTGAAGTAAACCATAAACAGTTGGAAGATTAGTGATCAATTATTTTAAAGCGATTGGGATTTGGTTTTAGAGAAGAATGTTGAGAAAAAACCTGAACAGATTAAAAAAAAAAAGAATAATGACGATATCTTGAAAGAAACTGACTCATGAAGAGAACCAATTGCCCAGATGATAATAAGACAATGTACATCGTTTATTGATGTCATAAAAAGAAGAAAAATGGAGTAGACGGTGATGAAGAAAAGGTTAAAGAGGAAAACAGACAGAGTGATACACAGAGAGACGTTGCTGGACCCATGACAACACACATGGCCTGGAAGATCATTCTTGTTAGAGTTAATAGAAAGTACAGGAAACAGACGGTTGTGGATAGACATGACTAAAAACACCACACAGCACAGACTAAAGAACAAGACTGCGTGTAAAGTAGCTTTCATCTTTTGTCAAAGGTATATCGTTTTTCCTTGTTTCCTGGGGACACAGAAGTGCGCTAGTGAATGAATAGAGATTGGCTGTTACTGCGCCTGTCAGCGAATATCTCATTTAAGATAAAGGGCACGCAATGATCATATTAATGAAGCTGAAAACCAGAGCACACATTCCAGATTTATATTAGAACGGGTTTATATTATATTATATGTGCAGGAGGAGAGACCAACCATGAGCTCTATGAACTCAGGTGGGCCCACTCTCTGAAAATGTCTAGGAGCTAGTGAGCAGAAAAATTTGTCGACGAGAGGTTACTTCTACTGATGATTGGTAGACCCCTGCTGTACATGCTCCCCTGTGGAGTTTCTTCTTATTGTACGTGGTTAGCCCACAAGACAACCAGGAAAGGCTTGTAACTATCAGGAAAGACCTTTTGACACCTATGGAAAGACTGCCCCCCCCCCCCCCCCCCCGGTATAGCCGAGGGGATAACTGACATTTGGAGACAGATGACGACTGTGGACCGAGTTGATGACCCCTAACACAATATAATACCTCTGATTTCGCAAACCAATATAGACATTTGCCCCCAGGGTCCATCGAAAGAGGGGGAGAATGATGGAATCAATCAATTTGATACAAACGGTGACGACCATGCTAGCTCCCGGACTCCGATCTTTGCCCAACGTCCGGGTTGGCTCTGTACATGTGGGAAGAGATTCACGGGGTTGCGTGGTCTGAGAATTCATGCCGGAGGGATGAGTTAACTGAGTCGTTAGGGTGCGACAGGCAAGGTATACCCCACTCGCCCGGAGAGGCCCATGACGTTGACTGCGGAGGCGTACATCTGATGATTCCTGAAGAAGTGCGTACGAAGGTCAGGTTTTCACCTGCGAGCGACAAGGTGTCGTGGTGTAAGTGAAAAGGTACATTATGTGAGAAACTAAATCATGATTTAAAAAAGAAGTCGTTAGGTGATAAGCTTACAATGTTTGGCAATGTAATATATGAGCACTGTTTCCGCGAGTTCGGGACAGTCGAAAAGGCGCCGCCGGGCGTCAAGCAGTACATAAGCAGGAGACAGAGGGACTTTCTGAAGTGCCGGGCAGACAAGAATGCACTCAGAAAAAGGGTTCAAAGCCGTTACAGGCAGCGAACGGAAGGGTCTGTATGAGGTCTGGTTGCACCTGAGAAACAGACACAGTGCCCTTTGTCGCGCTCAGCGTTTCTGTATCAACAGACGGAGAACCAAAAGGGAGCAAAAGAAATTCTTTAGGGACCCGTTCCAGTTCGCCAGAGGTCTATTCGAGCAACCGAAGTCTGGGACTCTGGTGGTCAGTAAAGAGGTGCTTGAATCACATTTACGCAAAATGTATTCAGACAAGAAGAGGAATGAGCGTCTCGATAACACCCCAGAGATCCTTAGCGGCCTTAAGCAGCCTGAGTTGCCGAAGGTAACATTTAAAGTGATACCTCCCTCTTAGTCTGAGGTCGAGGAAGTTGAGAAAAGAGCTAGCGGCAAATCTGCCCCAGGTCCGAATGGTGTGCCGTACGTCCTGTAGAAGCGCTGTCCGAAAGTCCTACGAATGCTTCACCTCTTACTGAGGTTAGCGTGGAGCCGAAAACACATATGTCCGGAGTGGCAAAAGGCCAACGGGGTCTACCTTCCCAAAGAGCAGGACTCAAAGAGTCTTTCCCAATTCAGGCCTATCTCGCAGTTGAATGTTGAGGGCAAAATATTCTTCTCGGTCATGGCTCACACAGTATCTGATGGCGAACAAGTACATCGATACGAGTGTTCAGAAAGGCGGAATTCCGGGCGTCCCTTGAACACGCGACCATGATTTGGGAGTCTATTCAGAGAGCCAAGCATGAGAGAGCCCAATTGCACGTAATATGGTTGGACCTTGCCAACGCCTATGGGGCTGTTTCCTATAGGCTACTGTGGCGAGCCCGTCGCATGTTTCACGTACCGGCACAAATCAATGATATGATCGAGCAATATTTCTCTAAATTCGCTTTGCGCTTCCCTACCTCGACGTTTACTACGAGATTGACTGAGCTCCAAGTTGGGACAGCCATGGGGTGTACAATCTCACCAATACTGTTCTTCATGGCCATGCAGGTCATGTTAGACGGGGCGGCCGGCTACGGACAGGGCCTTCAGTTTGGAGATCACTGGATGCTGCCACTATGTGCATTTATGGATGACACGACTGCAGCGAGGAATCCACCCGCACGATTCTGAAAAGATTGGACGCGGTGGTCCAATGGAGCGGTATGCAATTCAAACCTCAGAAGTCGAGGAGTCTGTCAATCCTTAAAGGTAAGGTAGCGGCAACTAGTTTTACAGTGGCAAGGAATCGGATACCCACGGTTCTAGAGGAACCGGCGAAGAGCCTTAGTCGCTTTTACGATTCGAAGTTATCTGATAGAGCGGAGGTCCGGCAAATACACGAGTCACTGGCTACAGGCCTGCTCGCGATCGCGCTAAGCGGGCTGATCGGGAAGTTCTAGGACTGGTGTCTCCAATTCATGTTGATTCCAAAGCTCCTCTGGCCGCTGCTAGTCTACGAAGTGACGATGACTGCAGTGGAGACGATTGAGCGAAAAATCAGCACGGCCATGAGAAAGTGGTTTAGTGCACAGCCTTGTCTGACTGACGTGGCTCTGTATTGTAAGCAGGCTAAGCTGGTTTTCCCGTTCAAATCAACAACGAAGAGTTTAAAGTCGGCAAAGTAAGACCCGCCATGCTCTTGCGCGAGTCTTCAGACCCAAATGCCACCGCTGTCCAGCCCGCTCTAAAGACTGGCCACTAGTGGAAGGTCCTAGATGCGATCGAATCTGCCCAGAAGGCACTAAAATTGAGGTAGATTATGGGCTACACTCAAACCGAACGTCGAGGCCTAGGTCACCGGACAGTCAGTTGATGGTCCAAAGCCACAGCCAAAGAGCGCCGAGACATTGTGATACAGCAGATTAGGGACAAGGAAAACGAGGTTAGGGTTCAGAAAGCAGCCCAACTGTCGCAGAAGGGCCATTGGATCAGCATGGAGAGCACCTTGCCACGAGTACTCACATGGGGTGAGATCTGGCGAATAACACCGCTGCGACTGAGCGTTATCGTTCGTTCTGCGTACGATGTATTGCCGTCCGGTATCAACATGGTAAAGTGGAGTGCGGCTAACGACCCGACATGCCCGCTGTGCAGAGCTAAGAAAACGCTGGTACACGTTCTGTCCGCGTGCATAAAAGCCCTAGGTCAAGGCAGATACACTTGGCGCCACAACAAGGTGCTAAAAGAGTTAGCAGCCGTTGTGGACCAGGCTAGGATGAGGGCCAATGCGAGGGTCAGTCATACCGTCGTCCCCGTACGCTTCCTTAAGGCTGGACAGATTCACAAAGGTAAATTTTTAAAAAGTCGCATTCGCTCCATCTATACTAGACTGTGCGAGGGACTGGTTACTGGCGGTTGACCTGCCTGGCCATGAAAAGTACCCTGAGTTAATCCAGAAGACCGTCTTGTGACCTGACATAGTTCTCCACTCTGCGGAGAAACATCAGCTCATCCTGAGTGAGCTGACCGTGCCGTATGAGTGGCGAATGGACGAAAGCCATATGTATAAGCTCGAGAAATAGAGTGACTTAGCAGCCGGTCTGAGGAGAGACGAAGCGTACACAGTACGAATCTTCGCCGTCGAAGTAGGCGCAAGAGGTCTTTCCACTTCACTCTACAATGTGATTAAACAACTAGGCTTACGAGGTAATGAACGCAAACGGACACTTAAACAGCTGGGCGAGGTTGCTGAGAGGGCCTCGAGCTGGCTCTGGACACAACGGAATGTCGTGGGGGAAGGGTCTCGGATAGCTGGTGCGGGTGTCTAGTGAAAAGAATGTCTTGTCCCCATCGTGTCCGAGTTGTCTGCTAGTGTCCCTCTGCCACTTGCCAACAAAGTCTGACATGTGTCCGGTAAACCAATCGTAAGCTTGCCACTCGGTCGTTCAGGTATGCAGACTGCTTTAATTATGCTACCGCAACGGCTTCTTACCTCACAGTACCTTTTGCAAAGTCACCAATTCGTCTTGTCCCTGTCCGAAAACATCCGGTAACTCGTGCAGCAGGAGAAAATCAACCATGAGCTTCATGAACTCTGGTGGGCCCACTCTCTAAAAATGTCTAGGAGCTTGTGGGCTGAAATATTTGTCGACGAGAGGTTACTTCTACTGATGATTGGTAGACTCCTGCTGTACATGCCCACCTGCGGAGTTTATTCTTATTGCAAAGGCGTCCGTGGCTTAGGCGTTGCGAGTCCGACTCGTTATACCACCGTACCGTGATCACAATACCCAAGAATCAAAAGCTGTTGATTGTGAAGATTACAGAACTATTAGCCTAATGAGTCACGTAACTAAGTTACTCTTGAAGATAAATACAAGCAAGAATTCAAAATAAAATAGAGAAAGAAGTTTCTGAAGAGCAATTTGGATTCTGTAAAAACAGTGGTACTCGAGAGGCCATAATTTGTTTAAAGATGCTGACTGAAAAATCTATAGAAGTTCAGCAAAATATGTATGCATGTTTTATAGATTACAAAAAAGCTTTCGACAGAGTGCAAAATGATCAACTAATTGCAGCTCTTCAAAACATAGGACTAGATGGAAAGGATATCAGACTTATTAGAAACTTATACTGGGAGCAAGAAGCCACAGTAAGATATGACAACATCTGCTCATCCCAGATAGAGATCAAGAGAGGAGTAAGACAAGGATGTGTGCTGTCGCCTAGCCTTTTCAACTTATGTACAGAAACCATTTTTAAAGAAATTGTAGAATTACCAGGACTGAACATCAATGGTAGAATAATAAACAATCTGAGATATGCTGACCACACAGTGTTGCTAGCAGAGAGTGAGCAGGAGTTGCAAGACCTAGTGGAGCAAGTAAACAGAAGGAGTGCAGAATTTGGATTAGATATTAATTTGAAAAAGACAAAAACCATGATATTTAGCAAAGAAAATAATCAGCTAACAATGAATATCACAGTGAACGGGGTGAATTTGGAACAAGGTAAAAATATCTTATATCTTGGACAAGTAATAACATGTGACGGCAGAAGTGAAACAGAGGTCAAGAAAAGAATAGGGATGGCCAAAAATATTTTCAACAATATGCAAAAGTTACTGACATCAAGAGAAATAAGCAATACATTAAAAATGAGAATTGTCAAATGTTATGTATTCTCAACCTTACTGTATGGCACAGAGACATGGACAATGAACAAACAACTGGAAAATCATATCAATTCTTTGGAGATGTGGATATACAGAAGATTAGGTCGTATTTCATGGAAACAAAAGCTATCAAATACAGAGGTACTAAGGAAATTTTGAGTGAAAAGAGAGTTGTTAGGTGAAATAAAAAAGAGACAAGTGAAATATTTTGGTCACATTAAAAGACATAACAGTATTGTAAAGATCATCCTAGGGGGAAAGGTTCAAGGTAGGACAGCGAGAGGCAGACAGCGTTACAAGTGGGAGGATAACATCAAGAGATGGACGAACAACAGCATGAGTGAGTGTACATCAAGGGCAAGAGACAGGGCTTGTTGGAGATCCATTGCAGCCAACCTTCATTGTAGAGACAGCACCTGATTGATTGATTGAAGTCGTTAAATCAATCATTCATTTGTTCTCTAACTCACCCATTCTTGCATTAATCTTTGTATGTGTGTTTTTTTGTTCTCTTCACCAATAGAGATATTTAGCATTGATACACCTCATGTACTCAGACAGTCCGATCGAGTGTGGGTGTATTCATGCGATATCAAGACCTACTGAATACACTGATGTTAGTATGGTACCTTTGTCACGGGCTGTCCACCACAAATAAGAGCCTGCATCCTGTAATCTGTGCCACCGATACTGTCAATGTATTTGACCACAATGTCTACGTCCTTGGGGCGAATTCCAGAAATATTACATTGTTCTCTACTGATAGCATTCCAGATCTCCTCTCCTGTTTTCAGTCCGCTTCTACTGTACCAGTCCTGTAAGACCCTCTTCTCTCCCAGACAGAATGTTGTAAACGGATAGCCACCAGTCCAACCTGTCAGGAATAAAACAAGGTCAGTCCCAGAGTATGAAATACCAATGTGTTTGAAAATGTGTCGGGCTGAGGGAAGGGATCTTAATACAATACAGCCTGTGACTACAATGGCAACGTAGCGTAAATGGGTTTGCTCTCATCACAGCTCAGCCATTACAGTCCTCAGACTTCAGCGATCACAGCCAGCAGACCTCGACCACCACAGTCAGTAGACCTCAGCGATCACAGTCAGTAGAGCTCAGCGATCACAGTCAGTAGATCTCAGCGATCACAGTCAGCAGACCTTAGCGATCACAGTCAGTAGACCTTAGCGATCACAGTCCGTAGACCACAGCGATCACAGTCAGTAGATCTCAGCGATCACAGTCAGTAGATCTCAGCGATCACAGTCAGTAGACCTTAGCGATCACAGTCAGTAGACCTTAGCGATCACAGTCAGTAGACCTTAGCGATCACAGTCCGTAGACCACAGCGATCACAGTCAGTAGAGCTCAGCGATCACAGTCAGTAGATCTCAGCGATCACAGTCAGCAGACCACAGCGATCACAGTCAGTAGACCTTAGCGATCACAGTCCGTAGACCTTAGCGATCACAGTCCGTAGACCTCAGCGATCACAGTCCGTAGACCTTAGCGATCACAGTCCGTAGACCTTAGCGATCACAGTCCGTAGACCTTAGCGATCACAGTCAGTAGACCTTAGCGATCACAGTCAGTAGACCTCAGCGATCACAGTCAGTAGACCACAGCGATCACAGTCCGTAGAGCTCAGCGATCACAGTCAGTAGATCTCAGCGATCACAGTCCGTAGACCTTAGCGATCACAGTCAGTAGACCTTAGCGATCACAGTCCGTAGACCTTAGCGATCACAGTCCGTAGACCTTAGCGATCACAGTCAGTAGACCTTAGCGATCACAGTCAGTAGACCTTAGCGATCACAGTCCGTAGACCTTAGCGATCACAGTCAGTAGACCTTAGCGATCACAGTCAGTAGACCACAGCGATCACAGTCCGTAGAGCTCAGCGATCACAGTCCGTAGACCTTAGCGATCACAGTCAGTAGACTTTAGCGATCACAGTCAATAGACCACAGCGATCACAGTCCGTATACCTCAGCGATCACAATCAGTAGACCTCAACGAACACAGTCAGTAGAGCTCAGCGATCACAGTCAGTAGAGCTCAGCGATCACAGTCAGTAGACCTCAGCGATCACAGTCAGTATAGCTCAGCGATCACAGTCCGTAGACCTTAGCGATCACAGTCAGTAGACCACAGCGATCACAGTCAGTAGACCACAGCGATCACAGTCAGTAGACCTCAGCGATCACAGTCAGTAGAGTTCAGCGATCACAGTCAGTAGAGCTCAGCGATCACAGTCAGTAGAGCTCAGCGATCACAGTCAGTAGAGCTCAGCGATCACAGTCAGTAGAGCTCAGCGATCACAGTCAGTAGAGCTCAGCGATCACAGTCAGTAGACCTTAGGGATCACAGTCAGCACACCTCGGCGATCACAGTCAGTAGAGCTCAGCGATCACAAACAGTAGAGCTCAGGGATCACAGTCAGCAGAACTAAGCGATCACAGTCAGTAGAGCTCAGCGATCACACTCAACAGAAATCAGCAATCACAGTCAGCAGATCTCATCGATTACAGTCAACAGAACTCAGCGATTACAGTGAGCAGAACTTAGCGATCAGTCAGCAGAACTCAGCGATCAGTCAGCAGAACTCAGCGATCAGTCAGCAGAACTCAGCGATCACAGTCAGTAGACCTTAGCGATCACACTCAACAGAAATCAGCAATCACAGTCAGCAGATCTCAGCGATTACAGTCAGCAGAACTCAGCGATTACAGTCAGCAGAACTCAGCGATCACAGTCAGCAGATCTCAGCGATCACAGTCAGCAGAACTCAGCGATTACAGTCAGCAGAATTCAGCGATCAGTCAGCAGAACTCAGCGATCACAGTCAGTAGACCTTAGCGATCACAGTCAGCAGACCTCGGCGATTACAGTCAGTAGACGTCAGCGGAATCGGCTAAAGAAAGTGCAATATGAAGCCTTTATAATTATTCTCAGGTACACACCAGACACTTATGTCACGCCAGGCGATATATCCTCAACTTGCTAGACATGGTTATTAGGCACAAGGTAACCTAGGCCGGGCGGTACCTGGCTGTTGCTGCAAGCACTTTAAGAGGAGCGATTAATAAAATGGCAGAAGTGGAGGACACCTTAGCCTAATCGGCAGAAACAGCAGAAAGAATCATATGCACATTGCGGTAATAATCACTCCTGACAGGTGTTGCACATAATGGAGCCAAACAGTTGCTGATGCTGAAATAAGACTTCACTCGACGAGGTGGTCATCTATACGGATGTTTAAGTGTTCTGGGGTACTGTTTGAGTGATAGAATAAAGGGCAGGGGAATGATAAATAGTCGAAAAGAAGAAAGTCGTGCATTCAGTTCAACTACTTCTATCATGACAATCTACATAGCAGCTATGCCGTGCATGGTCCCACTGAGATGGCTGCTAGTTCGGATCGATGAGCAAGGAGGCAATATGGACAAATAGCAAGTAGTGTAAAAGACTTGCATAAATACAGCCGAGCTTTATCAAAGGATAAAGGAAGAGGTTAATTAAACAATCGATAAGATCAAAATGAAACAGGAAATGCTTACAAACGAAAACATGGACTCAAATGGCTATTAACGAACAAAACACAAGAAAAAATGGGCACAAAATACAGAAGAAAATTTGAACTAAGAAGACACAAACAATAGATTGCATAATTTATTGCCTGGCATATTTCGCTGTATCTCGTCAGTAACAATGACATAAATGAAGCAAATAAGTGAATTCTTTATAACTGAAGTACAATTTCAACAATGATCAAATATGACTGTTTTTAGAAGGGCAGCCATAAATTAGAACGATCTCTTTCTGAATACAGAGTTCCGGGCGCAGTTGGCGAATCGCGGAAGCTTCGATAAATCTTAGCTTTCTGAAATTGATTGAAGGATTTAAAATGATCTGTCTTTAGCCACCACGTGTCCAGATTTTACAAGATGGCAGATGTCTATCCATAGACAAGAGAAGTTCCATTCTACTCTAAGAATGTTGCAAGTGGTCTACGATGGGTGGAAATTCCTATGACAAAGTTTAACACGTCACCCACTTGTGGTCCGAAGGCTGTAAGGTGGTTAAAAGGACCAACTGCAAATCAGCGTCAGGGTCAACGGTATCCCTTACGTTGTCTATGAACTCTAAGCAGTAATGTTCTTCTCGATAAGTTATGTTTGCAATAATGAGGTTGGGTATTAAACATAAATTATGTACTCAAGCACTTATGGATGAACTCGAATACGAAGAGGGACGCATAAAAAATGTAAGACAAATAGATGGACTTCCGGCCAAAATGGAGAAAAGGCTGGCAAAATGTTAAGCTTTGAAACAATTTTTTCTCAGACAGCGCTTTGCTAATGCAGTTTCCACATAAAAACGATTGTCCACGGTTTCGCTTCCTGAGCTACTGAGTTTAGTGCTTGGTTGTGCCCTGTGAGCTGTGTTTTTCTGATGGAATGCATTTCATTTGTGCAGGTGTCGTGTCTTGTTGTTCAATATGGCCGATGGCTGGTTTTCGTGTGAGCTGATGAAAAACCTTATGTAAGAATTCGACGTGTGTATAGTAACCAACTTATCGTGCCCGACTACTTCCATCAACGACAAACTGCATTTTTGGGTGGCGACGGTTGGCTTTGGCACCTCGAGCAACTGAAATACGCATTTACAGCGTGCACATATTTCATATTTTTCATATGCGACAGTGAGGGTTCATTTGATTCACACTGGCACAGGAACGGAGCAAGTATGGCTACACCCGAATGCTGTGATGTTGAAACCTCGACTAACAAACTAACTAGACAAACGGACGAATTAGCAGAAATAGTAAAAATATAAGGGGGGGGGGATGCAGTCAAGCTAATACAAGGAATTCCAGAGAAAGTTTACTTAAAAGCTCAAAAAAATAAAGATCTGTATACTCTCCTCTACTCGTTGTTAATTTTTTTGTAGTTTGACAAAGACTGCCCGGCCGAAAAGTTATGTTATTTGTGTTGTTTTGTGCACGTTTTTATGCTTTTCCATTTTGTTGAGCTTTTAAGTCAAATTTCTCTGGAATTACTTGAATTAGCAGAAAGCGGACCAAATTAGAGAAAACCTGGGTTACGGGCTTAAAATGTTCTAGAACCGGAGGTAGAAAAAGTCCGAAATGATCAAGAATGACCAGTCTTGGTTTCATTTTGGTACGAGTCTTTTGTCGACATTTATGTGGATGAGGGACCAATGCTAAACGAATTTGATCGCTAGTGGACGCGTGTCCCTGAGTCTGAATTTGAATTTTCTGAAATTCTGGCTATCCCATCAGTCTGACTTCCAATCAAGCCTGGGCCTCATTGTCTGCTATCAGTGGGACTGGTTGGTTTGCAAATGTCAAAGCTGCTACGTGGACTGTTTGTTTCTGTACAGTTAACGTATATCTGATATACTTAGTGATGCTGTGTGAAATGTCAGGGTTTTACTACCCAAGATGTTTTTAGCTCATGGTGCATTGGACGACAAGTCAGCAGTGTTTGAATGAATAAAAAAATTGACAACAATATCATCTGTGTGCATCGTTCGTTGTTCAAACTATTGAGCTATTTGTCAGTGTACAACTGAGAAGACTGCAAATGATGGAGCCCAGTGTGCTTGAAGGCGTGAAAACGTTTCTTTACTTCACTATGTTATTTACAGAACGTTGCAGAACCGACTCCAGCACATGTTTCTTTTTTTTTCATCTATTTGTGATTTTAAATTTTACGTTCAATAGTTCGCCATTGAGACTAAACGGACGGCTCTCGATACAACATACCACGATAGAAACCAAAGCAAAGCTGTCTGTTTTCAAATCGTGCTGAGATGAATTCCAGCACTTCGGAATTATGAAATGCGCTCTCAGCGCATTAAGGCACAGATAAGGACCTTGTGTTGACGAAATTCTAATATCGCTTCTGTGTAGCACCAATTGTTAGGCAAGAGATATCATCGATTACCTTTACACGCGTACTTGACATTTACAATTCAGAAAGGTACTCGTTTAGTTAATATATTATATAAATGTAGATATTTACCCAGGCTACGATCGCAATAGAAGACACTTGTACCACTTTGGACATTTTTGGAAAATGCTGTGTCAGCAGCAATATCAATAGCTTCAGCTTGTGTTCGAGGTACCAGCTTGGAGTAGCCAGTGCTGCCCGATGTACTAAACACGTAGTGGATATCTTGGGGTCTCACTGAAAGATCAATGAAGATGTCGTCAGTGCTGTCCTGTAGGTCTTCAAGAAACGGCTTGCGAGATCTGTTAAAGCAAATGTATACGTTCTCTGTAAGCAGACATTACATATAAACTCGTACAGAAAAACCTGCTACATTTCACAGTGCTACACAGGGGTTCCGACATTGATGATCTCTCATAGTGCTACGCAGGGGTTCCGACATTGATGATTTCTCATAGTGCTACACAGGAAGTTTCGACATTGATGATTTCTCACAGTGCTACACAGGTGTTCCGACATTGATGATCTCTCATAGTGCTACACAGGGGTTCCGACATTGATGATCTCTCACAGTGCTACACAGGTGTTCCGGCATTGATGATCTCTCATAGTACTACACAGGGGTTCCTAAGGAAGGACTATTTACCAATGAAGAAGTCCATATTTGAAAGAAGATAATTTGCATAGAGGGGTACGGGATGTGGACGGAACTACTAGCAGAGGGGTGCTCTGCTGGTTACGTGACAGATAATAATAGGTTTATGAAAAATAAATTATTTTTTTAGGTTGTTGTAAAATAATATACAAAAAGAAATATAAACATCAATAGAGCAGAGCAGGTATGTTTGCTGGTGAGTGATATTTATTATCTTAGGTCATGGGGAATGATAATAAAAGATAGATACTAATAATAAATTTTTTCAGAGGCTAGTTATACACATTAGGGAAACAGGATAACAAGTCTGTCCTTGCGACGGATCCCAAATAATCAAAGGAATAAGGGTACACCACATTATACACCAAACGAATTAGTGAATTTGGTTAAATGGATGGAGAAAATACGTTTTGTTAGCAAAGAACAGGATTACGCGAGCTGGTTGGGCAGCCTATGCTTAGTTTGGAGGTGAAGATGATGAAATAAATAAAAATAAGATGAATAAGAGGAAGAAGAACACATAGACAAAGAAGACGAACTAGGAGGATGAGAGGGAGGAGTGTGTGGTGCATGAATATATCTACAATATGTCCACACAACTCCGTGGCTTAGGCGTTGTGAGTCCGACTCGTAATCTAGCGTACCGCGATCGAAAGCCACTGCAGGCTGCGTGGATTTTTATCTTGGTATTTGGCGTCGCAGGTTTACCCAGCCTAAAATGGGTACCAGGATGGGCTGTCCAGGGGAAGTAAAGACAGCCGGCGTAATGCTGACCACATTACCCACAGAGTGCTGATGGTCTGTAAAAATGTGGGTGCTCTGTCCATATGCCTGATAAGCCTAAAGGCGTGGAACGGGATCTTGACTTTACTTACATTACTATGTCCAAACAATCAACAACATTTAAACAGACCAGACTTATTACACAGGGAAGTTTACCTACCCCTGGCTATGTCTAGAAACTGTTATTACTGTGGTCAAGTCAGGTATCTTGTCACATGACAACTTAGTGATGTCAAATGACATATTTCCTGTGATGTAAGGATTGAAAATCCGCCAATCCGAAGATTCGTCGGCTGGTTTTAATACAATCCCCTTGGATCGGCTATTTTTAGCCGACAGATAAAAGTCGGAACCATCAGCTAAAAGAATCTGTGGAGATATAGATAATTAGTTTTACAGTTACAGAAGTGGGTAAGGCTTATAGCAACAAAGAAATTATACTGTCCATGTAAAGAGGTTTATCTTTAACTTTAACTGCTAGAAATATCTCCACAAAGCAGTTTTTATGAGGTAACCTATGACCAACGCCTTCTCTTATAAATAGAGTAGGCCTTGCCTATGACTATGTATATATATATATATATATATATATATATAGCCTGTATGGATGGCAGTGTCGGTTCGTGTAAGGCGTATAAAGGACTTCCAGGGAAAATTGTCAATAGCCAGCTGACCGCTGGTTCTCTTCAAAGTTATTTGTTTGCAGATAGGTTTTGCTGACGCAAATTTCCCATTTCAGGAAAACAGGAAATCCGTCACCCAACACTGTGTGCGACAACGTGAGATAAGATTTTTCAGTGGAATTTTTTTTTTTTCTGTTGCGCTAGAAGCGTTCTGTTGACTGCCTTAAAATTACTATCAGAGATTACTATCAGAGTAGTGTACTTCTGTTCTGGGGTTCAATGCCTGCTTTTGTAACTACCAGTTTGCACTAACAGTCACTGACATTCTGCTGTCAGACTGTTAGCGTTGGTAAATCTGTTCGCTACCATATGCAAATTTACATTGCGTGTGCAAGCTTCCAGATTTGTTGCGACTGACAAGAGTTTTCCCAGTTTTCAAAAGGGATAGTGAAAGATATCTTGTGTAATTCCCAGTGGCCCGGGTACAAAGCATTCAGGGGACGATCGGTCTGCAGTGATGTTGGAACCTCGACTACGACTAATTATTGTACGTGTGGTATTGTCCCCAGCTGTAACGTGTAAGCGTGGCATTGTCCCCAGCTGTAACGTATAAGCGTGGCATAGTCTCTAGCTGTAACGTGTAAGCGTGGCATTGTCCCCAGCTGTAACGTGTAAGCGTGGCATTGTCCCCAGCTGTAACGTGTGTGAGTAGTAATGACTCTATCTGAGTGTATGAGTTGTAATGTGTAAGCGCACTAATGTCCCCAGCCTTTACTTTTATGTGTGATAGTGTCCCTAGCTGTAACGTGTAAACGTGGTAATATCCCTAGATGTAACATGTATGAGCAGTAATGACTCTAGTTGGGTGAATGAGTGGTAATATTCTTAGATGTATCATGTATGAGCAGTAATGACTCTAGTTGGGTGTATGAGTGATAATATTCTTAGATGTATCATGTATGAGCAGTAATGACTCTAGTTGGGTGTATGAGTGATAATATTCTTAGATGTATAATGTATGAGCAGTAATGACTCTAGTTGGGTGAATGAGTGGTAATATTCTTAGATGTATCATGTATGAGCAGTAATGACTCTAGTTGGGTGTATGAGTGATAATATTCTTAGATGTATCATGTATGAGCAGTAATGACTCTAGTTGGGTGTATGAGTGGTAATATTCTGAGATGGATCATGTATGAGCAGTAATGACTCTAGTTGGGTGTATGAGTGATAATATTCTTAGATATATCATGTAAGAGCAGTAATGACTCTAGAGAGTGATTGAGTGTTAATATCCTTAGATGTAACATGCATGAGTAGTAATGACTCTAGAGAGTGATTGAGTGGGAATATCATGAAATGTAACACGTATGAATAGTAATGACTCTATAGAGTGATTGAGTGTGAATATCATTAAATGTAACATGTATGAGTAGTAATGACTCTATAGAGTGATTGAGTGTGAATATCCCTAAATGAAACATGTATGAGTAGTAGTAACTCTAGCTAAGTGTGTAAGTTGTACTGTCCCTAGAGGTAACACCTCTTAGCAGTAGAGCTGTACCGAATAGGTGATTATCACTATTCGGCCGAATACGAATAACGGGACCAACTATGCGGTCGAATACGAATAGTGTATAGTGAATAGACTAGATCTTTAAAAAAACATTCATAATGTTAAATGTACGCTGAACTTTTACTTTACAAAATGCACAGAATAGTCTTCTTCTTTCTCTTCAGCCTTCTGAACTCTTGAAGTTCATTGCTGCAGATATCACCCGACTCTATTAACCTCTCTGGTTGCCCTTCTCTTTCCAACTATCACACCAAGTGTTTGCAGGTCTGTGTGGACATTATCTCTACATCGTCTTCTTGGTCTGCCTCGTGGTCTACGACCATTCATCTACCTCGTGTATACAGTTTTTACTTCTCTGTCACCTGACATTCTCTCAATATGTCTCAACTAATTTAGTCTACTAGCTCTCACGATGTCAATGATCAATGATGATATAAACAGATTATGAATTTCATTGTCGCCTCTCACTCTCCATTCCCCGCTGTTTGCATCTTTGATGTGTTAAAAGATTCGTTGTAAGACTCTGTTTTCGAAAATCTGTAATAAGGCTTCATTTCCTTTCGTTGTGCCCCAAGTTTCAGAGCCATATAAAAAAGACTGATCTTATCAACGTTTTAAATATTTTGATCTTAGTGTTGCGTGACAGACACTTTGACTTTAGTAGATTGATTTTCATATTATCGACTTGTATGTGGCCAGAGTTTAGATTCTTTTCCTGTCTAGTTAGTATTCGTACAGAATAGTAAACATTTAAAAACATTTTATGTTTTGCATCCTTTAGTCTGTCTATGGTAATAACAAGTAATTAAACTTGTAAATTGTCACTAACCGCTTAGTTAATCCATGAAAGGTGCATTAGCTATCAACAAAACCAATCGTTCCATGTTGTCAGCATTAAGGCAGTGTATGCAGAAGCAGGTGTAAGGTAACCACTATTCGTATTCGGCCTAACCGCAAGTCGGTCGAATATCGAATAGTTACTAGGTCCACAATTCGGCCCCTAAGCGAATACAAAGCGAATGTTCGGAACAGCTCCAATTAGCAGTAATGATTCTAGTTGAGTCTATGCGTGGTAATTCCTCTAGATGTAACATTTATGAGCAGTAATGATTCTAGTTGAGTCTATGCGTGGTAATTCCTCTAGATGTAACATTTATGAGCAGTAATTATTCTAGTTGAGTCTATGCGTGGTAATTCCTCTAGATGTAACATTTATGAGCAGTAATGATTCTAGTTGAGTCTATGCGTGGTAATTCCTCTAGATGTAACATTTATGAGCAGTAATGATTCTAGTTGAGTCTATGCGTGGTAATTCCCCTAGATGTAACATTTATGAGCAGTAATGATTCTAGTTGAGTCTATGCGTGGTAATTCCCCTAGATGTAACATTTATGAGCAGTAATGATTCTAGTTGAGTCTATGCGTGGTAATTCCTCTAGATGTAACATTTATGAGCAGTAATTATTCTAGTTGAGTCTATGCGTGGTAATTCCTCTAGATGTAACATTTATGAGCAGTAATGATTCTAGTTGAGTCTATGCGTGGTAATTCCTCTAGATGTAACATTTATGAGCAGTAATTATTCTAGTTGAGTCTATGCGTGGTAATTCCCCTAGATGTAACATTTATGAGCAGTAATGATTCTAGTTGAGTCTATGCGTGGTA